AAGAGAGAGAACTCAAATTACTAGCATACAGGATGAAAAAGGCAATATCACAACAGACACTTCAGAAATACAGAAGATAATTAGAAATTATTTTGAATCCTTATACTCCAATAAAATAGAAGATAGTGAAGGCATCGATAAATTTCTTAAGTCATATGATCTACCCAGATTGAGTCAGAAGGATATAGACAACCTAAACAGACCCATATCAATTGAGGAAATAGAAGAAACCATCAAAAGACTACCAACTAAGAAAAGCCCAGGACCGGATGGGTATACAGCAGAGTTTTACAAAACCTTTAAAGAAGAACTAATACCAATACTTTTCAAGCTATTCTAGGAAATAGAAAAAGAGGGAGAACTTCTGAATTCATTCTACAAGGTCAACATCACCCTGATTCCTTAACCAGACAAAGACAATTCAAAGAAAGAAAACTACAGACCAATATCTCTAATGAATCTAGATGCAAAAATCCTCAATAAAATTCTGGCGAATCGGATACAAAAACATCAAAAAAATTGTGCACCACGATCAAGTAGGATTCATCCTGGGATGCAAGGATGGTTCAATATACGGAAATCAATAAATGTTATTCACCACATCAATAGACTTAAAGATAAGAACCATATGATCATCTCGATAGATGCAGAAAAAGCATTTGACAAAGTACAGCATCCCTTTATGTTCAAAACTCAAGAAAAACTAGGGATAACAGGAACATACCTCAATATTGTAAAAGCTATCTATGCTAAGACTCAGGCTAGCATCATTCTGAATGGAGAAAAATTGAAGGCATTCCCTCTAAAATCTGGAACAAGACAGGGATGCCCTCTCTCACCACTTCTGTTCAACATAGTTCTCGAAACACTGGCCAGAGCAATTAGACAGACGAAAGAAATTAAAGGCATAAAAATAGGAAAAGAAGAACTTAAATTATCACTATTTGCAGGTGACATGATTCTATACCTAGCAGACCCAAAAGGGTCTACAAAGAAACTATTAGAGCTAATAAACGAATTCAGCAAAGTGGCAGGATATAAAATCAACACGCATAAATCAAAGGCATTCCTGTATATCAGCAACAAATCCTCTGAAATGGAAGTGAGGACAACCACTCCATTCACAAGATCCCCCCAAAAAATAAAATACTTGGGAATCAACCTAACAAAAGAGGTGAAAGACTTATACAATGAAAGCTACAGAACCCTAAAGAGAGAAATAGAAGAAGATCTTAGAAGATGGAAAAATATACCCTGTTCATGGATAGGCAGAACTAACATCATCAAAATGGCGATATTACCAAAAGTTCTCTATAGGTTTAATGCAATGCCAATCAAAATCCCAATGGCATTTCTTGTAGAAATAGATGAAGCAATCATGAAATTCATATGGAAAAATAAAAGACCCAGAATAGCAAAAACAACTCTAAGCAGGAAGTGTGAATCAGGCGGTATAGCGATACCAGACTTCAAACTATACTACAGAGCAATAGTAACAAAAACAGCATGGTACTGGTACCAAAACAGGTGGGTGGACCAATGGTACAGAATAGAGGACACAGAAACCAATCCACAAAACTACAACTATCTTATATTTGATAAAGGGGCTAAAAGCATGCAATGGAGGAAGGATAGCATCTTCAACAAATGGTGCTGGGAAAACAGGAAATCCATATGCAACAAAATGAAACTGAATCCCTTTCTCTCGCTATGCACAAAAGTTAACTCAAAATGGATCAAGGAGCTTGATATCAAATCAGAGACACGGCGTCTGATAGAAGAAAAAGTTGGCTACGATCTACATACTGTGGGGTCGGGCTCCAAATTCCTCAATAGGACACCCATAGCACAAGAGTTAATAATTAGAATCAACAAATGGGACTTACTCAAACTAAAAAGTTTTTTCTCAGCAAAAGAAACAATAAGAGAGGTAAATAGGGAGCCTACATTCTGGGAACAAATCTTTACTTCTCACACTTCAGATAGAACCCTAATATCCAGAGTATACAAAGAACTCAAAAAATTAAACAATAAGAAAACAAATAACCCAATCAACAAATGGGCCAAGGACCTGAACAGACACTTCTCAGAGGAGGACATAAAATCAATCCACAAGTACATGAAAAAATGCTCACCATCTCTAGCAGTCAGAGAAATGCAAATCAAAACCACCCTAAGATACCATCTCACTCCAGTAAGATTGGCAGCCATTATGAAGTCAAACAACAACAAGTGCTGGTGAGGATGTGGGGAAAAGGGTACACTTGTACATTGCTGGTGGGACTGCAAATTGGTGCAGCCAATTTGGAAAGCAGTATGGAGATTTCTTGGAAAGCTGGGAATGGTACCACCATTTGACCCAGCTATTCCCCTTCTCCATCTATTCCCTAAAGACCTAAAAAGAGCATGCTACAGGGACACTGCTACATCGATGTTCATAGCAGCACAATTCACAATAGCAAGACTGTGGAACCAACCTAGATGCCCTTCAATAGATGAATGGATAAAAAAAAATGTGGCATTTATACACAATGGAGTATCACTCTGCATTAAAAAAATGACAAAATCATAGAATTTGCAGGGAAATGGATGGCATTAGAGCAGACTATGCTAAGTGAAGCTAGCCCTAAAAAACAAATGCCAAATGTGTTCTTTGATATAAGGAGAGTAACTAAGAACAGAGTAGGGACGAAGAGCATGAGAAGAAGATTAACATTAAACAGGGATGAGAGGTGGGAGGGAAAGGGAGAGAAAAGGGAAACTGCATGGAAATGGAAGGAGACCCTCAGGGTTTTACAAAATTACATACAAGAGGAAGTGAGGGGAAAGGGAAAAAAAACAAGGGGGAGAAATGAATTATAGTAGATGGGGTAGAGAGAGAAGAGGGGAGGGGAGGGGAGGGGAGATAGTAGAGGATAGGAAAGGCAGCAGAATACAACAGACACTAGTATGGCAATAGGTAAATCAATGGATGTGTAACCGATGTGATTCTGCAATCTGTATACAGGGTAAAAATGGGAGTTCATAACCTACTTGAATCAAAGTGTGAAATGATATATCAAGAACTATGTAATGTTTTGAACAACCAACAATAAAAATTAAAAAAAATATATACACTTCAGTCCATAGAAGGCCTATTTCACACACACACAGTAGCAAAGACAAATATTACTCATGGGTGGAGTCACAGACTCCCCTGCCTTAGACGGGCTCCGTTGAACACCCTGATTCACTGTCTGCTGGAAGTTGGAGAGACCTGTAGGCTGGCTGCAGGTGCTGCTGATGGGGCTGGCAGGAGGCGCTCAGCTCACAGGGCCCTACTCTGCAGCTACACCCACCCTCCCCATGCCTCCCTTTCAGTGGAGCTTCAGGCCATGAGCTTTGGCAATGGGAGCTGGGCTTCCATAATCAGCCAACATGACAGACATTAGAGCTGGATCCAGGCAATTCAACCTGCGCATTTCCTGGAGCCCATGTGGACAGGATTTGGTCTTTTAACTGCTTGATCTGCACAGACACTTGTCCAGGACTGGAATGGCCACATGAAATGGGTTTTCAAAACTGAACCTCCCATGAGTGAGAGGGCGATGTGTCAGGAGGCAGTGGGGTGGTGAGAAGGAAAGAGGAAGAGAGGCCTTTCCTGCCATGTCCCACAGGATGGGAAGCCACGAGGACCTGGCTCCTGCCTGTCTCTCCCATGTGCCTGCCCCTCCCCACACAGTGTCCTAGCAAGGCAGGCTGCTTTTCTGTTGTGTACACACTCAAGACCACTGAGAGTCAGGAACTCCACAGCTCCCTCCATGAGGACCCCTGCACAGCAGCTCCGTCCCCACACTCAGCTCTCAACACCTATCTTTGTCCTCAGCAACTGGCTGAATTTCAGCTTTACCAGAAAGTGTTCACTGAGACAACCACTGGGTAGTGACTTCTTTGGAAGATATCCCAAGACAAGGGTTAAGGAGTGGGAAGAAGTCAGAAGAGGTGGGTCTGTAAAGGAGCAGGTAACCATGGGACAACCAGTCATCTAGACACCAAGTCCTGGAACAAGACACCCTGTCAGCAAGGGGGGACACTGAGGGGAATGCACCTCACAACAGTCCCACCAATGGTTATGCAAGTGTCACCTTAGAGTACTTCATGGGGCTGCACATTTGCTTTGTGTATTATCGTGTATCAGCACTTTACAAGATTCTTTAAAAAGTCCTGAGGAGTGACGAAGGCTAGGTGTATACTCACCAACCCTGTCCATCTTTGTTGAGAGCCACTGTGGGGACACTTCTGGTCTGCTGGGTGGGGGTACAGGGAAATCCCTTAGGCAAGGAGACCCAGGAAGGCCTTTGCGCAGAGTCACTATCCTTCGAGGAGAGAAAGCCCTGCAGATCTGCTGTGCCACTTCCTGGTGTCACACCCACCTCTCCTGTGCCTTTCTGTGAGTCCTAGAGGCCTAAGCTTCAGGGTCCCTCACTGTCCCTGGGACGGAGGTGTCACTAACCTCCTGTTTGCCCACTGACAAAGTGATACTAAGCAATGAAAGGAACCTGCCCAGAGCTAGAGAGGCAGAGTAAGTACGGCTAGTCCTACCCCTGAAGCCCTTTCTTTAAGGAAACAGAGCACAATGATGAAAAGGTTAGAGGTTTAAGTCTTACACAATACCCCCTGTGTGGCACAAGGCAGAAGTGGGTGTCCCTTGAAAGGAGAGAGGACTTAAATGCTCTTAATGACAGGTTTTGGTTAGTACAGAAAGAAGTGCAAGGAGCCAGGGACAGGTTGCCAGTTTAGGTTCTAGAAAACAGTCTGTTAGTCTGCTCGGGAGCAAGGGTTCACTTCATTTTTCAGTTGCTAAAGTAACTCGTCAAATTCACAGAAAGGTAGCAAACAGGTGTACAAGTCATTGAGAATCCCACGGCTGCAAGACCACGACTCTGAATGCTTTTGTAACATTTGCCTTGAAGCTTTTCACAGGTCAGATCCTTTGGTGTTTTTTTTTTTTTTAAACACAGGGCTTCACTCTGCTGCCCAGTCTGGCCCTCTATATTTGGACTCAAGCCATCTTCCGGCCTCAGCCTGCCAGTTAGCTGTGCCCCACTGCACTCTGCTCAGCTGGGGTGACTTTCGTCTGTCATCAAAGGTGGTGGTGAAGGAGGTCTTTCTGGAACCCCTCTCTTGTCCTCCGCTCCCAGGTGCTCACTCTGATTGTAAAATCACCACCTCATGAGGAGAAAGGGCACCAAGGTGGAAAGCTCTGGACAGATGCCAACGGCTGGATCCCCTCCCAGCTGTGCCACTTTCCCTTAGCCTTCCCACCAGCTGCTTCATCAGAACCACATAAAAAATACTGGTACCTGGCCCGCCCCCACCTTGTGCAAGGGTGACATGCAGCTCCCTGACCTTCCTTTCAAGCCTGTCACAGGCCAGCATGGTGGTCTATAACTGCAGCTCTGTCCTCCTCACTGTACTGGAGACATCTCCCTGGTGGGACCTTGCCACTCACTGCCCAGCATTCAAGTTCTTGGCTCCTGTGGGTCACAGTGAAGGGCAGATGAGGGATGGTGGCTGAATGATACTCCATGTGTCAGTCACCTAGGGGTTACTGTAACCAAGGGAGAGAAATAAACCCTCATCTTCTCTTGCTTTTATTTGTTTTACTTCCAATTTTAGAGGTCACATGGCTAAGCAATGTACTCTCATTAAAGCTTTGCTGTAGATAGCACTTCTGAAGTGTTGGTCAGGAAGGTAACAGCTGCCTGAGTTGTTTTTCAGGAACTTGGAGGTAGCTCAAGCCAGTTGAAACCACCCACCTCTCACACAGGTGTCCAAAGAGTCACTTGTGAAATTAAAGGGCTGGAAACTCCATCCTCAGAGCCCACAAGGCGCCATCTTCTGTTCAGGTGTTCAAGGAAAACAGCTGAGCTTGACCATGCATACGCAGAACACTTTCTGCCAATCATTTCCCCAACAAATTCTCCACAATTCCCTAATGCTTCATTCCAAAAATGCTGGAGATTGGATTTTCAGGGAGGTGTTTTGAAACCTGGGGCTCCCATCTTCTCACGTTTGATCACCTGCTGAATAAACCCTTTCTCTTTGCAAAATTTGCTCCTTCAGAGTATAGGTCTCATCACAGCAGGCCTGCCCAGCCTCCTTTAGTAACATTACTTTAACAAATGCCTGAGATAAATCAACTTGAAAAAAGGAAAGGTGTATTTTTGAGAGTGCTGGGTATTTCAGGGCTCCACTGATCTACCCCATTGCATTGGGCCTTGGCTCTACAGTACAGCATCGGGGTGGTGCTCCAGGGGCTCCAGGCGGTAGGCGCCCATTCACCTCACTGCTATCCTCCCCCTTGAAAAAGGAGAGAGGATGGAATGGGGGTCCCACAATCCCCTTTGAGGGCATGTCCCCAGTGACCTAACCTCTTCCCAAGGGGCCCCATCTCCCAGGGTTCCACCATCTCCCAGTAGTGCCATGGGATGGGGAAAATGCCTCCAAAAACATGAGCTTTGGGGGGCCTTTCAGATCCATATTATGGCACCCCATATCTGTGTCTGTGCAGAGTGTCTAGTGGTTAGCCCTTGCTGTTTCCTCTGCCCAGTACACTCAGCCACAAGAGTTGCATAATATTCTTCCACTTCCTTCAGATATCATCTTGCCAGAGGACTGTCCTGACCACTCTCTGTAAAATAACCACCACTACTCACACACGCAGCCCTCTCCAAAGCCTAAGCATATGTCCTACATATGGTTATAATGACTCACCCTTCTCTCTCCTCCCACAAGGAAGGGACTTTGGTTTGGCACATAGCTCAATTGCCACCAACCAGCTCAGGTGCCAGTCAATAAATATTTGTTGAACAGATTAATGAAATTTCTCCTCCCACGTACAATAATGTTCTTCCAGTTTCTAATTTCAAGGTACAGGTGGACGCTGAACTGTAAATTACCATACTGTGACCTGATGCTAATTTTAAAAATCACTAGAACCACTTGAAATGAATACTGCTTAATTTTAACTGCTACCCAAACACATTCCAGGTTCCAGGGAGAAGCAAATACAGAATTCTTCAAGATTGAGACCTTAAGTAATTCCTAAGTAGTTTTTTCTCCACATTTATTACATGCTAAGCAGAAGTAAGGAGGGTTCCTGGAATTTGTTCCTTATCCTCTTGAGTCTTAATCACACAATGCTTCCTATTCAGGCCAATCCCCATTGCTGCCCGACTTCAACCTTCAAAATATCTCAATCCAGTCCTTCTGTGAGTGGGGGTGGGGTCCATGTGAACAACACTGGAGAAAATTTTAATTTTAGCGTGCTGACTCACCAAATAGCCAGCTGATTGCATGTAGCTAAAGGGCAAGGAAAAGGAGAAGGAAGGAAAGGTGCAAAGCGTGGGGACAAAGGCTTCTGTTTTCAGATTTTCTTTCTTACCTCTGACAAGTCTTAGAATGCATTTTGGGTTGAGACGGACGTGAGCACAAATGCTTGTCTGAATTATACATACCATGAAGGTGGAGTCATTTGCTCAGTGAGTCAAGTTTGGCAGGAATCCAAGGCCTGGCATTTGCTTTCTGCTAGATGAGCTGAAGCTATCAGCCACTCACATAAAACCATCTAGACAATTCAGAACATAACCACTTCTGCCTCAGCCAATTATTTCAGTAAAAAAGCACTTCCCAACTTTTAAAAAAACTTATTGTGAAATATAAATACAGAAAAGAGTACTAAATACATATGTACAGCTTAGAAGATAAATAAAGTGAACCCCATTTGCCTATCATGGATTAAGAAAAAGAACAAGCACTTTCAAATGAAGACCCCTGGGTGCACTCCATCATATGCCTTTTCCCACCAGACACAGGTGACCACTATCCGGACCTTGGTGTTACTTCCTTGATTTCTTCTTAATTATCTTCCTTATAAGCAAATCTCCAAAAACATTATTTAGTTCTGAGAAGCTGAACAGGAAGCATAGACCTAGCTTGTTCAAAGAAGGGCAATTGCGCCCTGCTAGGTACAAGCTCCCAGCAGATGAGCTGAGCAGAGGTAGGGGCTCCAGCTCTTCTCAGTTCTCCAGAGGCCCTCTGCGGAGTGGGCAACAGGGAGGATGTGAATGAGGTGCTGCTTGTCCAGCAAAAGCAGTCAAAGGGCAATGGCTGCTGTGGAGTTTTTGCCTTGATTCACAACAGTGGCAGTAGAATGAAGCTATATGCCCAGAAGGGACACAAGTGTCCCTAGGTCCTCTGAGAAGCAGGATGTGTAGTGGGCTGGGTGCACCTGAGCATTTTGTCTTCACATACCAATAAAGCTGGTTGCTCTGTGGTCATAATTTGAGTTATGTCTGTCTCCGGATTCAGCCCCAGCTGCCCTCTGTGGGGGAGCACAGCCATTCTCTCCCAGGTTCCTGTAACCCCTCTCTGGAGATATCTTCCTTTTTCCTTGGTTGACTTCCTCATTTTGATGAGACACGTCCTCCCTTAGTTTCCTGAGAATGGGTGGAAGGATGTAGACAGACAAGGCTACCTAGAGGCTATCAGCTGGGATTCCAGGTGTCCCAGAGAAGCCACTAAAGGCCTCTGGACTCAGCAGAAACCATCAAAGTGGATGGAGTCTAGGAAAACTAGAAGAGTCACGAATTGATCCTGTATGAACTTAGGTCAGCAATGGCCTGCCCTTGGGATGCCCCCAGGAAGGCAGGAATGGGAAGCCTGCAGGCCCTGCAGTGCAGACACAGATATAGGGAGTCCATCTAATGCTAGTGGCAAGCATCCAGGACTAGAATCTGTACATTATGCCTGGGCTGGGTGCTCCCCAGTGTGGGAGACCAACCTAGCATGTGACTTGAGTTAACTCCCCTGCTGGGCGATGTGGAGTTAGGCACCCATGCTGCTAGACTGCCCAGCTCTTCTAGGGTTCGAGTGACTTGTGTCTTCCTGCCCAGGCTTCCTACAGCCCCATGGGTGGAGCTACGCTCACCTGTTCCTTTGTAATATAACCTCTTGCTCTATTTAGGATAGAATCTTCCATGGAAGTGCCTTCTGTGTGTCCCCTTCTCTTACTGTATCCTTGGGTGTGGCCTACCTAGATGTCAGTCAACCTGCTGACAGTGGACATCATGAAGATAGACTCAGCCCCCTGAAATCTGACCCCTTGCCTCATTTGAATAGCTTCTCCTCAATAAAAGGGGTCAGTGTGCGTGTGTGCATGCGCTCTCTCTCTCTCTCTCTCTCTCTCTCTCTCTCTCTCTCTCTCTCTCTCTCTCTTCCTGTGGACCCTTAAGGTCAGAGAAGCCATCACAGCGACCCCAAAGAAAAAGGTATTTTTGTCTCTTGTGTGTTACTTTGCGCAGCCCAGTCAGCCCAGTTTACCTGGAGTGACCCCTGAGCCTTTTAGTTGAGAGAACAGAATCCCGGCACCCCAGCAGGAATATCAGAGCCTCACATGGTCTTGTAAGATGTTTCTGAGTGCTAAGGACACTGAGGAGAGGAGAGGCAGCAATCCCACACCACTGCTCCCCACCTGGCAATCTTCTCCCTGTCCACTGGCTAAAAGACACGGCTCTCTGGCAGGCAGTGTGTGAGATTTGAGGGGGGCATCAGGAGTCACACCCCATGTATCTGGATTCATCATGGGCACTACCCACTTGTTCCTTTGGGAGGACAACAAAGCAAAAGCAATCTGAAATTGAATCCAAGTCATCATATGCCCCCCTATTCACCCCTGTCCTGAGATCCAAGGCAGGTTATTGTTGGGCCCTGGGTAAACATCCTTATCTCTAAACTGGACGACTGGATCCTCTGGAATTCTCTGTCATGGGACATGGGAATCTCATGAGGAGACCAAAAATGCTGAGGCCACACTGCCCCAGCTGGAGACTCTAATATAAGGTTCTGCAGCAAGGTGCAGGGAGTGTAGTTTTGAACCCTAGCTAAATCCTGTATCATCCAGTTAAGACAGATGTTTAAGGCCTTTTGTGGCATTCAATCATCAGTTTAAGGAGATAGCCAGAGGTAATATTTTGCAAAATAAACTCTAATGGTAACTAACTTGGGGCATGTAGTCTTGTGAAAGAAATATTCGTTGTTCTCTAGAATCTATAAGATTAGAAACTACAAAGCCAGCTCTGGCTACTAACTATGCCTGAGAAGAGATGTGAGCATTTACTACTGTCCCTAGAATTACAGATTTGCCCATTTTGTAAAATTTTTTACTCCTGAGACTGAACAATAGGATTAGGTTATTTCTTCACCTTCCACCCTACACATTTAAAAATAACTTGTTTAAAATACATGAGTTAGGGAAGGGAGGTAGAAGTGCTGGGAAATATATTGGCCAAATTATACTGTTATAATGTGTATTGTGTGCAAGTATGAATATGTAACAACAAATCCCATGGGTGTGTATAACTATAATGTATCAATTTTAAAAATGGGGAAAAAGAATTTTAAATACATGCACACACACACAGAGAGAGAGAGAGAGAGAGAGAGAGAGAGAGAGAGAACTTTGCATGTAGTGGGATGCATAAAACCTGTGGGGGCATGATAGCCCTTTGAAGAAAGCCTAGAATAAATATCCACATTATTCTTCAAAAATAAAATAATATGGATTAAGCAATACCTTGTCTGGGATTTGC